GTTTAAAGCAACATCATGTAACTTTCTGGAGAGATTCAAAGTTTTATGTCGTAACTTGGAATATTAAGGCCAAGAGTAAAATTAAATGTTACATCTTTTTTTAATTTTTTTTTTAATTGTTCGTAATTAAAATATTCTTCTTCAAGTTTTCATGAAAATAATAAAGTAACACAGGACTATAACAGGACTAAATCAGGACTAAACCAGAAATAAATTAGGACTATAATAGGACTAAACTTGGACTAAATTAGAACTAAACCAGAAAATAAACCAGGACTAGACCAGGACTATAACAAGACTAACCAGAACTAAACCAGGAGTATAATAAGACTAACCCAGGACAAAACCAGGACTAAACCAGGACAAAACCAGGACTAAACCAGGACTAACCCAGGACAAAACCAGGACTAAACCAGGACAAAACCAGGATTAACCAGGACTAACCCAGGACAAAACCAGGACTAAACCAGGACTAACCCAGGACAAAACCAGGACTAAACCAGGACAAAACCAGGACTAAACCAGGACTAACCCAGGACTAAACCAGGACTATAACAGTAAAAGTATAGTAAAAGTCATAGTTGAAATATTCTTCTTCGAGTTTTCATGAAAATAATAAACTAACCCAGGACTAAGTCAGGACCATAACAGGACTAAATCAGGACTAAACCAGAAATAAATTAGGACTATAATAGGACTAAACAAGTACTATAACAGGACTAAACTTGGACTAAATTAGAACTAAACCAGAAAATAAACCAGGACTAAACCTACACAATAACAGAACTAAACCAGGACTAAACCAGGACTATAACAGTAAAAGTTACACACTGACCATGTTTTTTTTTAAATTCTGAATTAAATAGTTTGTAGTTGAAATATTCTCCTTTCGAGTTTACATGGAAATAATAATAATTCTGAATTGAGGTTTACATTTAAAACTTGTTAAATCGTCTTTATTTAATTCCGCTCAACGTCTGGGTTTGGGGAAGTGTTCTGATTGGACGGAGAAACGGTTTATTTACGACGACCGGAAGAAAACACAAACTTCAGTCTAAATAAAAGTACAAAGACGTGTTTTGGAGACGGGACGCTCTCTTCTGATGATTCATGTGTTTTGGGTGATTACAGCCGTGCCGTTCTTGCCGTACTGCGGAACATTGTTAGTAAATCAATAAAATAAAATCTCCACGGCGACAAACACTTGGAGATAGACAGTTAAACCCATACTCTGGAATATTCTCCACGGAGATAGATTCAAAGTTTTATGTCGTTCCTTGGAATATTAGAGCCAAAAGTAGAATTAAAAGTTACACATTACCCACGATTTTTTTTTAAATTCTGAATTAAATAGTTTGGAATGAAAATATTCTGCTTGGAAATAATAATTCCGACTTAAGTTTACATGGAAAACACGTTAAATCGGCTTTATTAAGTCTGCTCAACATCTGGGGGTCGGGAAAGTATTTACGTCGACCGGAAGAAAACACAAACTTCAGCTGCTACCGGCTTTTCCGTCATCTCAGTTTGTTGTTACTCCACGGACACAAACACGATCCAAACTTTTTTCCGCAGTGGTTCCGATGATAATTGCGCAGCAGCTGGAAAATTCTCTCATCACGCTTTACGTCTGTCGGCTGAGGAGGAGAAGGGAAGAGCGTCGGAGAAGAGAGGAAGAAGACAGAGTGAGTGTGAGGCTGCTCTTCCTCAGCCCACTCCCGCATCCCTCTCGCAAATCCAAAGAGACGTGGATGAAAGTCCGAAGCCAGAACTGGTGGAGCCGGATCGAAGGGTGAAACAACAAGCGTGAACGACCGGAATTATTTTTAAGAAGAATAATCATCTGCTATCCTGATTTATCAGACGGTTTCATTTCGTAGAAACCATCTGACCTCGCAGCATTAGGATTTGTTCGCTCGACAGTAGGCGGGTACTTTTTTTAAATTTAACCAATCTCTGCTGTTTGGTCGTGACGTATGTAATGCATGTCTGTAAAGCTTTTCCCAAATTCCGTAGGAAGAAGGGCAATAACGTCTTTCCCCCTAATGAAATTCACCAAACATTCTCTTTGTTCGTCTTTAAATCCTCGATCTCGGGAACACACAATATATGTTTCTTCGCTGATCGGCTGGTGCCCGAACATGCACGGGCTTTTTGCGAACCTTCTCGTGTATTCTGATTCCTGACCTAGTCGCTGGAAAGAAATTAAATTAAGCGGAGGCACTAGGTGGCGCCAGCCTGGTTAAACATTTACATCGAGGAATAAATTAACTCGGCTTTAAAATCGGAATAAACCACCCGAATCTGTGTGTCACTTGTTCATTCGTTTTTCAATATAAAACCAAAAATAAGAAAACGAAAAAACAACTATTTTCTTCATTATTTGTCTCCAAAACCAAAATGAAAAAATGGATAATGATTTGTTTTTTCAGTTTTCGATTTTGTGTTTAAAGGAATAATGGGAAAAAAAATGGATAACGACTGTTTCCTGTTGCGCCGC